AAACTAGAAACTAGAGAGACGAATGGACGGATGGACCAATGGGAGGAATAGCACTTTCCCAGCAGTTGCTGCTGCTGCTGCTGCGACAACACGAAAAGTAGAACGAAACACAAACAGAAAAGGAAATCTTCGGCGTCGGCGTCGTTGCAACATGTGGCAGCTCTCTTTGGCAACGGCGGCTGCATTGCAATTTACTTTCGATGCATTCGTAGCGTTTGTCCAAGCTGCATTTAGATGAGGCGCCTCATATGGGCCAAAACAATTATTGTTGCTGTTGCTGCTGCTGCTGTTGCAAGTTGTTGCGGGCGGTGGGCGTGACAGCTGAGCATGGCAATTATGTCCATCATTCGTGTAGAAAACATTAACAGCTGCTGATGTGTGAGCTGCAGGCGCGGGTAGAGGTGGAAAACTATCTGCATATTGTTAGAAATGCGCAGGAAAAACCCCAATCGTTAGCTTTTCTTCTTCTTAATGTTTTCTGCTCCAAAAAGCGCAAAGCGACTGGAAAATGCACTTTTCCAACAAAGTTGCTCATAATGAAAATGAAAGGAAAAATGCCATGCACACACACACACACACACACATATGTGTATATTTGCTCGCTCGAATATGCTAACTAATCAAGTATTGCATGTCAAATTGCCATTTGACTCACCTTGAACTTTGAAAGGCCAAGTGATGCAGGTGAAACAAAGCACCTGCTCAATAAGCCAATTGCGGTTCCTCATTAATTATTGCACAACCAAATTTCTAAAGCTTGCGAAAATTGTTCTAATTGCAAAAGTTTTAGATAAACTACAGGAATTACGCCAAATTGTTGTTAACTTGGCCTATACAATTAGTCTGGCAATTCAATGTCAGAGGGCACGCTTAAAGGTCGCAGATAAATAGTTTGGATGAGAGCTTCTAATGTAAAGCCAAAAGAAAGCTCAAGGTCGACTAAGAGATACCCTGACCCTGCGCAGTTCTCTTATTCCTATCATTCGACACTTCTCCTAACACTGCTAAAGGAAAGCCTTAAACAATTCTCATTACATTTTATTCAAAATTCAAATTCAACACGCGTGAAATTTTTAGAGCCCAAATAAAGTTTGGCCAAATGGACGGAGAATTGCGCTAAGGTCAGTGAACTAAGCCAACTTTTTTGTTGAATAAATCTTAAAACCAAACATTCAAATGTTGTGCATTATAGACATATATTTAACATTGAATTAAGGAAATAATTCCATATTTAAAAAATATAAATATATATATATGTATTATTTAAGATTTTCTTTATCGTTGCCAAAAATCCCACTATACACTCGCACATATACTAACATTTTCAATTGGGGAATGTGAACAAAACAAAAACAAAAACAACTCACTTTTTCGCTGCGCTCATAGTTGGCGGGGAATTGCGGCGAGGAGCCGGGTATGCCAAAAAATGACGGCGACGCTGAATGCGGCGTTAGCGGTGATGGTGACTGCGACGTCAACTGCAACTGCAGCTGTGACTGCGACTGCGACATGCGCTGATGGTGCAGCGACGACAGCGTTGGCGTCGACATCGACAGCGATGTTGGGGTCATGATTAAATGCCGCATGTGGAACAATTGTTGTTGTCGCTTCTATTGTTGTAACAGATTTGTTGATCAGCACAATAAACAATTCTTTCACTCTTTTTCCACTGGTCTTGTTATTATTGTAGTTGTTGTATTTTGCACTTGATGCTTTACATTGTTTGTTTGTTCATTTCATTCATTTACCGTTTTGTTTGCTCTCTTTGCCTTTCATTGAATGTAAAATGTCAATTGTTTGTGTGGCCCGTAAAAACATTTTATGCGGCACCTCTATTAAATAATATATATTATATATACATATATATATATGGATGCCTAGCGGCGTGACAGCGCGAAATGGGATGGGGGTGGGGGGGATTTAGACCCTAAACAGCTGCTGTCTTTCATGTTTTGGCGCGGCAAACCGCCAAATGGGTTACGTTCCAATTACCACAAATAAAACCTAAACATTGTGCAGTTAAGAGTATGTGACTAGGATATACCCTGTATATCAACCATTAACATACATGAATATATATATCACAAACATATTTGATTAATTCATTCTTGTAGTTTCAGTTTTTACTCCTCAGTCGACATGCTTCCAAGGCAGCCCAGCGCTTACTAAAGGGCATCGGCTAGTTGACACGCTCGCGAACTCGCATTTGTCACACTAAAGACGCGCTCTCTTTCTTTCACTCGCCTGATGTTCAATATTCATACTCTTATAATTTCTTTCTTTTCGCTATCTTTTATCACCTTTTAATGTGCTAGTTTCTGCTGCTGTTGATTTTGCTGTTGTTGTTGCTATTCTAAACACTTTTTCGCTTCGCTCTTTTAGTGCCTGCCAAATGCCGTTATCAGCGAGCAGTCGCAGCGTCGCAGCAATTGCGCGACGTTTTTTGTTGTTCTTACTGTTTTTCTATTTTTCGCCTCGTTTTGCTGTTCGCTTGCAGGCGAATTGAGATTCTGAATTAATTTTGCATTGACATTTCGGGGGCGTCTTCGCCCTTGGCGATCTTTTCTATCTTTTCCTATCTTTTCGCGTCGATGTCTGTTCTTCTCTCTTTCAATTTCACTTCAACTTCGCTTATGGCTTTTTGCCCATTTTTTCATTATCGTGGAAGTCCTATTTATAGGGGCGTTGAGCATATCATTCTATGATAAACAGTTCTTTTATAATTATTGATAAATTAAGCATACGCCACCGATAGAACAGTAAAAATATGAACAGTTGTCATAGATGTACATATATAATCATATTTCCTGCAGTGTCTCATAATTTTCTCACGAACTATGTTTATAAATAGACTTCTTGTATTTCCTATAAAGCCTCTCTAGTTCTAAGCTGATTATTAAACAACTAATTATAGGTTATATTTGACTATATTAACTGATTTTAGATTATATTAAGATCAGTTTCGTTAATTCTCAACTTGAAAAGATTCCAGCGTAAATCCAGGTGTACTCTATTAGAAGTAGATTAGAATTTATACCTATATATATTTATACATGTGTATATGTGAATCTATATATATATATATAAATTTGCTGCAATCACGATTATTTTATTATTCTATATATTCTATAAAAGTGCAAAAATCTTATCAATATGGGGGCATTACATCATATAGCTACCAACAAAACGATCCATACAAAATTAGGTAATTTAGCAATAATATCTTCATGATTTTATAGATATAGATCTCGATAGATATACGTATATATGTATATACACCATTGAATAACAATATAACAGTTATAGACACTATTACAAAGTATATTTTTTAAATAATATAAACAAATGCGTAATATCTTGCTCTGGGTCTCTCTGTCTCTCTTAATGTGCACTTCATTTGTCACAGGAATTTGAATTTCGGATTTTGCTTATTTCAACAATTTTCTCAGCTTTTGCATTTCAGTTGAAACTTTGTCCCCCACAATGATCTAATCATTTTATTAATTGAAAGACAAGAGCAACAACAAAATCTGTTGCAAAATAATTGACTTAAAATATTAGGGGTTGCGGGTTTAGAGAGGGGGAGGTTGGGCTTGCTCGCACGTAATTTCAGTCATCATCTAAACGGGGCGAGAGACTTTTCGTATAATACAATTCGCTGTTAACGCCAGCGGCGACTGCGACGGCAACGACGACGGCAACAGCGACGTCGACCGAATTACACGCGCCGAATATGTCCGAAGGCCGCACAAGTTTTTTTCTATATTTGTTGGCTAGATAAATAATTAAGGCGAACAATTTGCAGCACCATTGGGAATTCTGCAGCGCCGTTATTTCTTTTTTTCATAATTTTACTGCACTTTTGTTGCAAAATGCAAAGTTGCAACAAGCTACGAAACAACAACGCACCAGGCGGCCGTAGTATGCGGTGGGTGTGTGGGGAGTTGGGCTCGCGGCGATTTACGAGCAGTGCGGCGAGTCAGCCGCGCACCAAGTGGAATACAAATTGTAACTGAAACAGCGCAGCGAGTGTCGGGCAGCGCCAAGCCAATGGCGCAGCGACAGTGCTCGGAGCGCTAAGCGAAGAGCGCAAAGAGGCGCGAGTAAAAGGCATTAACTAACAGGCGTTGAAAACAAAACAACAACGACAACAACTACATTTAGTTCGTCTGCGAGAGAGCCAAGATCGTGACGACGACTCTCAAACTTCAAATACACAGTTAAAGTTTTGCTGCTGCTGCTGCTGCTGCTGGAGCGGCGCTCAGCTGTTGTGTTCGGCTATGGTGAAGTTGGGGATTTTGGTGAAAAGGTCACACGGCGAAGCTTTTTGCTGGCGGAGAGAAAGTCTCTGTCGCTCATTGCTTGCGACTTGGAGTATTATTTAATAATATTTCGCACATTTGTTATCGAGCGTGGGTGGGTGGCTCTGTTTGTCTGTCTGTCTGACTGACTTCGTGCATTGAACTTGACATAAAAGCAACTAATTGTTGTTATTGTGTGCTTCTTTTGTTATTACTTACTTTTTTGCTGTTTTAATTGCGTGAAATTTGATGCGCGCTAATTGTGGGTTACATTGTGTGTGGGGTGTGTGGTGGAGTTAAGATTTTGCATGTTAATGAACTTTTTCAATTGTGGGTGGTCGCGTGGGTGGTGAATGCCTGCCTGGCGTACGTATAAGGTTGTGAAACTGGGTCGAGCAATCAAATTTCAACAAATTCTTCAAATATCAAAAATGATTTTAATGAATTAATCGAATCAAATTAGCGGGCGGCTTTACGACTCGATATAACTTTCATTTTCCCATTTCAATTATGCATTCGGGAACTCGTTCAACGAGCCGCCATGGAAACTGGATCGGCCATAAATAGATCGTGACTGAGTTCAATGAAACGTCACGAGCTGAACAGAAATCAAATCAAGTCAAAAACTCTTCGAAATCCAGTGACAAAATACAGAGATTTACTATATTTTTAGCTCTTAGACTTAGTCTAGTGACTTACCCTGTCCATTAGCTGTTCATCGTTGCGTTTGCGTCGCGCAGGTGCACGTATAATGCGGCCAGCATCTGGAGCATCCATGGCGTTCTATGATCTCTCTTTCTCTCTCTGATATATATATCTATGTGTGTATAATATGGTGTTCCAACTTATTTACGAGGCAATTAGTGCTACGAATAAGAAAATATGAATATTATCTTTAATTATATACAGCAAATAGTTTAAAACCTTAAATTGAACAGAAATTTACTTTCAACTTGTTTCAACTTATACTATTTGCAAATTAGCCACACACTAGCTTAGCTGGGACACGCTACCCAACTGAAATTCTTATACACATTCATCCATTGTATATAAGACAGATACTGTCGCATTTGATAAGCATAGGCTAAGCGTGGAAATTGTATTTTGTTTAGTATAAATAAAATGTTAGTTTATAATTTGTATCAATTTACTTATACTACTTATACTACTCATGATTCAGCTAGCACACCCAAATGCTTATTATTATAATCTACCCAAGACACACATCATTCATCGCAACAAAAACTCTTATATGCGCTCACTACTCGCACTGAACGTGTATGGTTGTTGTCTTAACTACACAGTTTGATTTTCTTCACTTAAGGTTCAAGACTTTGCTAGCATGCGATCCACAATCGCAAACTTTTTCGTATTTTCAGTTAAATTACCTCCAATGGCTCTTAAACTGTTACAAGGAAATTTCGCTGTGTGCAGCATAATTTTTGTCCTATTTTCTCTTAAACTAGATATATTTTTAATTATCTTACTCACTTGTTTTCGTAGTCCACATTTCGGAAGTTTCGCTATATTTGGCAGTTGAATCTACAATTCGGCTTTCTTTCTTTTTCTAATTTATTTTTTTTGGCAATTTTTAGTTGATTTGGAAGCAATTGTTGCAGGAATAGTTTAAAAACTGCAAAAAAAAAAACATCAAATAGTTTAGTATTTATAGGTAGCTTAGTTTAATTTTAAAGGATTGGTCGAATGACTCCAAAACTAATAACAATAGATGGGGAAAGACCTAGATTTTTGAGGGGATATAATGGAAATTAATATGGTATGATGATAACAGTAAAAGCTGTCCAAATTAGAAGGATGGTAACTCTATACAGTGATATCTTTATCATTCCTAGTAATTCATAGTCCTAGTCCAAGCTGCTATCTCTGAACTTTGGATCCTAAAAGGAGCAGCATCAAATGTGCATGATTTCAAGCTGGTTTACAATAGAGAGATTTAGTTTATCCAACTAAGATTTAGATATAGAATTTAAATATTTTGTATTCCATTCAAGACCCTTCTGTATTCTCTAAATGACATAAAGGCAAAATTGAATGGATTTGCATGCAGGAAGTTGATTCAATTTAAGGCCAAAAACAAGCAACAATACAAAATTCACATTATGCAGCTGATACAAATTTGGCAGAAGTCTGTTGACGTCTCTTACGAACGTGACGTAATGTTAAGGATCCATAGCATATATATATATGCATACATCTATATAATCCCACAATAGTTTGCCAATTGGAATCACGTTTCAAGCGATAAAAAATACAGAAATCGACGTAAAACTGAACTTTGATAAGCTGATGAATTTGTCAACTGCAATTGCAATCGTTGCTCGTGGCTCGCTGCTCGTTGTTTACTTAAGTAGATCGCAAACAGGGCTATAGCTGTATAGAAAGACGATAAGCGTGAACTAGTGCGAGTGCACGACCTGCAGATACCCTGTGTCTAGGTTTATTTGTAAGTTTTAAGTCTGCGTGTTTGCCAGTTAAGTGCATAAACCAATGAACACATTTGTCACTCACTGCTACAGGGTGTCAGGCAGTTGCAGCAGCCACAGCAAAAGGCAACACCTATTGTTATGGGCGACAGCAAAAACAATGACTGAGTGACTGAATGAATACAGGTAGCAAAGCAACTGAACGAAGACTAAATAAAGTGAACAAGGCTCAGCAGGTTGATTGACTAGAAGATACTCTGCACTTAAATCAACTAGAATGAAGTAAACAATAAATATATAAAATATATATTTTTTTAATTTAATGTGATATAAGCATAATAAGATAAAGTTTATAAATTAAAAAATAAATAAAAAAATACATAAATAATAAATATAAAAAACAAAAAACAAATATATATATACATCAACTATTAAAATAAGTAAGAGTTCAAACAAAATTTATTAAAAATAAACTTAAATATTTTATACTTAATGCAATCAAAATAAAATAAAATTTTATAAATTTGCAATCGAATGAAATATTGAAAAGTTAGCTCAAAGTTAGTAAAAACTACAGGGTATCTTAGGTGAGGCGCTACACCGGAAACTTAGACAAAACATCGGTAACGAACGAGAAAACTGAAAATTTGTGGCTAAAGTTTTTCTGCTGCGGCAAGTTTTTCTTTGCATAACTCAAAAGATTCCGAGCCAAAGTTGCAAAATTGAATTCAGCTGGGAAAGTGTTTGCAAGACTTGAATACGAGTAGATAACAAACTAGATAACTTAGTAATACTAAATACTGGACTAACTAGAGAGTGTAGAGCGTGCCTCAGTGCTTATCTACAGCAAGAGTGCAAAGAACTTTATCAAATTTCACTGAAGCCATAAATCAAAATAGCTGACAAATAATAAATTAAATAAAAAACAAAAAAACAATTATATATATAATTAGATATGAGCACATTTTAATGTATGTGCGCTGAGATCTCTATACCTAATATATAACCGTAAGTCGCCTCTTTTCCTTAACTTCTTTTTTTTTGGTAAAGTTCAAGCGACTTGTGTTTAAGACGACCTACTAAAAAAAAAGAACAGCAAAAACGACACGTCTACGACAAAAGACTGCAGAGAATGCCAGTTCGAGACCAGACAACGGACAGCGGACAGCAACAAAGCTTGAGCTGTGCAATTTGGGTCAATTGACTCACACAATGGCAAAACTTGTTCTCAAAGCGTGCTGACAATAATAACCGCAAGCTACAACAGCCTCAAAAACGGAGATGGGCCAGGCCGAAAAAAGAGAAAAAAAAACATAATTAAAGTTAGCACAGGCTGCGTGTGTGGCTGGCTGCAGCATCACAGCAAAAGTGGGCGGAGCTCTCGCAGCAACTGCCAATGCTAATGCTCATTAATGAAATTCATAATTGTTTTTCTTAATCAATTGCCTATGCGTTGGCCATCGACTGCCGCAATTTGTGTGTGAACAAATTTTTCTTTTTACTAGAATTTCCCATATCAGTTCACATGCTCACAAAAAACGCGTTCTTTGCGTGGAGTCTGAAATAATTGTGCCATATGCTACAGCTTTTTTTATGTGCTTCATAACAATATGTTCGATTTTGCTGAACAGCCTGCGAGACTCGAAGCTCGAGGCTCGACACTCGACACTCGCTGTTCTAGCTAAATAACTAAACACTGGCAAGCACAATAAATGTTTTAATGTGGAAATCAGTTTAGTTACGTTGAGATACAGGGATTGTGATTATAACTATGACTAACTGTATCTGGTGTTTTCTAAGCGTTAGTCAACAAAGAAATATATGAACGAAGTGCGTGATAAGTTTGAAGAATAACAAATTATAAAAAATCGAATCTATATCTAAAAAGTCTATCCATAACGAAATGTCCAATCAAACCAAAGAAAATTAATCAGTTGTTAAATAATATGTTAAAAAAGCAACTTTAAGTTGTGAGCCTCTAAAAGAACACTCTGTATATGGAATATCATATTTATAAATTAACTTTTTCATAATCTAAAATATTTGCTTATGGAGAATTTACTTCATAAACTATGTATTCTAAGTTTCCTTTCATATACCTTCACACATTTATACCAATTTGAAACAAGGAAGGCAAATTTGATGATTAAATAACTTAAATTTCAGATAGCTGCAACTAAAAGGCAGTCTTCAGATCAGTTGCTTTAGAATACATAAACAGCTTTATTTTTTATTTGTTACTTTCAATGTTTAACAAGGCGGAAGAAATACATAGGACTATCTGAACTGGCGGTTAACAATGAAGCAACTACAAAACAAACTGTCTTTTGTTCTTAAACTATGCAACATATAAGTTTGGTTATTTTATTTAAAAATTAAAAACTTAATAGTGTTATCTAATGATTAACACAGAAGTAATATACGCTCTACACTTAGTGAACAAGTAAAAGTTGGTTCTTAACTCAGTTTGGAATTTATTTGATAAATAGTTTGATGTAATTATTGGATTATTAGTATTACTATTTTATCAATAGAAAGTCTTAAAGATGGCTCAGAAATACAGTGAGCTGTCGATGATGGCGATAAAGACTGCTAGACACTTTAAAACACAAACTGAAACTAAATGTTTATTCCAACAATTTGTGCTGTTATTCAGCAAATTTTCTTTCGCTTTTAGATATTAATATTTAATTAACAAACATCAAATGTTACTTGAAAAGGTAAAATAAATCCAAAATAAAATGATTCCAAGCGTAAATTCAATCTCAACGCACCTTTGACTTCCCGAGAACTATAAATGATGGCAATTATTGGCAAATATTGCAATTTTGTGTGCCAGAAAAGTCAATTTAAATGGGAGCTATTAACATCATGGATGATTTAACAAATGTGAAGACAAAGAGCGAGAGAAAGAGAGAGCAGACTCAGTTTTGAGTCAACGATAATTAAAAACTTTTGTCGGGTACAAAAGGCCTTTGACTCTTTGGGGAACTTTAACTGAATGCGTATCGAGTTCAATGAATTTTTGTGTCAACAATTTTTCATTTTTGACTTTATTAAAAATAAAAAATGTAAAAACCAATGAACTCGAACAGAACAAATTCGCGAAGTGTAATGAAGCGAAAAGTTTGCTTGGCCAAAAAGGAAACCAAGTACAAATATTTACTATTTCAGGTCTATTTAATGAATTGCTTAACTGAATTATGTATTTGCAATGAGTCTGTTTTCAGGCATAAGAAAAAAGTCTAAATGTATTTCCGCATATTGAAAATTATTTTTAACTATATGTATTATATGTATATAAATATATTATATATAAATAAATATATTTGCATTACCTCTATAAATATTTTGTTGAGGTTTAATGACCTAACCTTACAACAGAGTTTGTCATCAAAGCCAGCTAAAAACAGTTGCTAGCTGATTCATATATAATTTATTTATATTTATAATATTTATTTATATTTAAAAGTTTTCAAGTGATACAGAATAAGTGCCAAGATAACGCCACAATAAATCGAAAATCAAAAACTAAATATACATTCAACTCTTCAAACATACCTCGTATATATTTATCACAAATATAATAATGACAGATAAATTCAAAGAAAGGATTAAAACATACTTTGCTCCAGCTGAGCATAGCTAAGATTTATTAGGCAATTCTTAATCTTGCTTCAGCCATCGATTGCAGCTAATATTATTTATGTAATATAATAGATATGTAATAATTTATTACTTAAGTGATATTTGCTAACGGCTACGAAAGTGACTCGTATATCGATTGGCTTCTATCTGAATAAAATTCGAAATTGAAATTTTTCAATTTGTAGCTCAGTGTTAGAGCAAGCATAATAATTGAACGCCGCCGCCTATAAACAGCAACAGCAGCAGCAGCAGCAGCAGCAGCAGCAGCAGCGGCAACAGCAGCCAAGAGGGCAGATAAATTCAAAGGCCTCGACGTGGCAAGATGAAATCCAAAAAAGATATTTGCAATGGGCCAAGTGGCGAGGGAGGAGGAGTGAAGGCAACGAAATTCATTCCAGTTTCACGTTGCACGAATTTGGCGCCTGAAGTGTTAATAAAATGATACAGTTAAGTTGCAGCAATACCATCGACCAGGCGGGGCACATTGCACACTTGTGGCAACAACACATTTTGCAAATTCAATGTGAAATGAATTGCAACC